AGATTACAATTAACAAGATCTTTACAATTTTATGTTTTTATTATCATTTATGTTTATGTACGCCGACCCCGCACTCTTATTGGACTTCACATTCTTAATTGACCTTTTCACCTTGAGTGCACTTTTACTCGTGCCCGTAGTCAAAGCCGCCCACGCCAAAGGTGGGCGCATGTGAGCGTAGTCTCGGCCACTGACTGACTTTGCGACCTCTCCACACGTGGTCCTGTTTTGTCCCGCACCAGCTTGAAAAGGTGGGGTCTATCGAGTGATCTGAGGCACCGGATATCTGGCTGTGAGCCAAACGCGATACTTAGCGGAGTCGTCTTACCGGTCGATGTCTTTTACGTTTGATCGTAACAAAGAGGAAGACCACTCAAATAACGGTACCAGATCCCTTGTTGACGCCAACACCGACCTTCCCACGTTAATACAAGAACAAGACCGGAGCTCGTGTAGAGAGCTTTGATCAAGTCAGCCACGTGCGGAGTGGGTTGTCAAAAGAGAAACTAATTCAAGTCAAGGTTGACCTTGACCTGATAATATGCGTAATAAAACATATGTGAGGACTTAATGGAAATAGTAACAAAAACCATTAGCGAGCAATCTTGGGACATCGTGGATCCCCAACAATGCCTTTGAAGGTCGTGAAGCAAACAATCCACTCAGACCCTCAACCCCAGTTAAAACATTGCTTACTGAACAATTAGATCTGCGTACCAGCAAACGCGTTGTTCACGATCTGTCTTCTGAAGCGTGACCTCACGCACATGTGGCTTTGTTAGTAATTATGGTCGTTGAACGACTTTTCGATGGAGGAAAATAGGGTCGTCGTCACCACCTTCGTAGTGTTTAATCGAAATCAAAACATCAGCTTTAGGTGATACATGCTGACTAAAAAGTCCTGATATGTTTAGTTGAGTTTGCTTCATCCTCATTCAGACTTAGCGAGGAATTAAAAACTAGATCAGACTCCAGAAGAATCACCATTAAGTTGGTTTTATTGTCATAAAAACTTTGAAGCCGCTATGGCTAAACACCAGCCAAGGGTGCTTGTTGTAAACCACCCCATTGCAGATACTTGTTTAAATTCACATCACGCAATTTGCAATTTACCATAAAAACTTTTGACTGCCTTATGCTATTTAAGGGGTTTCAGCAGCTGTAATAAGAGTGATTACTTCTTACAACAGGAAGGGACTAGTTTGAATTTAAACAATTGGTCTTTGAGACTTTACGTTGTGCAACACACCAGGTTTTGAAAACTGCATTTGGGGACATTCCCTTACGTATTAGACATCAGCCTGAATCCCTCATTCTCTCGCTTGTAGAATAAACGTTCGAAAAAATTTATTGACATCTGACTAGCCTCCGATTCTCGAAGTTTAAATCAACGCTGTGTTCAAGCGAATAAGCCTCTCTAAAAATGGGCCATGACCTCAATCCCTCAAGTCATACTTGCAGCCGTTTTAACTTCACTTCAGCTGGACGTCTTGAAGTGGGTCTTTGCTTGAAGATTAGAAGTAGTTGTCGCAGCCGGATTTGAATTTCAAGGATGCATACACTGCTCCGAGAGTCTTATTTCCTTTCAACGATGATGTAATAACTTCTCATGTATTTTCTTTTAAGGAAAGAGTGACTATAAAGAGAGAAATCTGAAGTCGTCTTGGTAAAATAACAATCAAGGAATTGCGCCTATTAGAGTCGTAATACTTTAGATACATGTTTAAGCATATTCGTTACCAAAATTCTGAAATCAAAAGGACCTACCGACCTTTTAAAAGCACTTCCGACTTACCCCTGGATTAGTTTGGTTTGCAAATTTAATTCCCAAATTTATGCTGGCTTTTTTACTTAATTAGACAAATTGCTTTAAAATTCAGCTGGTCAGAGCTAAATTTGTGCAAAATCACTATCCCTTTGGTAAAATTGAAATCCATGGAAAATTTATCCAACCGGAATTTGTGCATGCTCAACTCTCCATGCAGTTTTGAGACTTCTAATGGAACATTGAACATTTACGAATTCCCCATCTCCTACCACTTATCAATAGTTGCGATAAAATCATCAATGGGCTACAGCCAGGCATATTTTTGAGTTGAATTTAAGTTGGCTCTATGTGGTAAAGCTCCATGTCTCGAGATCAGCATTCAAACGTTAAAAGCAGTTTATGAAACGATCAAATTAATTAACCAAAAGCTATCAATTAGACCAAGAAGTAGAATCCGAGAAACGTAATACGTAGGGTCCAGGTGCGGTCACACAAAAGGGCGCCTTCATGTTCCATTAGGTATATATTCTGATTTAGTTTGCATTAAAAAGTGAGTTACATTTAATGAATTGTTTTCAACCGTGTGCGATGTCGCAACCATGACAGGTGAAGGCGTTTTCATAACGAACTCGGGTTTTTATTTAAATCAGACAGTAAGTGTGACTTTTCAAAGGGCGAAAACAATGGCTTTCGTATCCATGATTTGTGGCAGATTTTTACTCCCAGGTGAAGTCCGTTTGGCATTGAGGGGAACAAACGTCGAGAATAGTATACACTTCATTCTAATATTACCAGTTTTGATGGTATTTTACAGTAGCAAAAAGGGTGGCCAATTCAAAAAAGAGCGAAATTCGGGATTGTTTATATTAGGATATGTTTCAAGACCTGGCCAAAACTCACCGATTCACTAAAGCGAGATTCAATCGAATATTTGCGGTTAGCGTGAGCGTGTGGTTCACACGCGTTAATCCGGTGACTCCAGTCTCCTAAACACGGTCCCCCCTTTCGCAGCATGTCGCTAGCCGCGCGGATCCTCAACTCTCCCTTCCTGGATTATCCCCACACCAAGGTCTCTATGTTGGCACCTTTATGACTCATACGGCTTCACACATCTGAGGTATAAATACACACTCCCAAACGCCACACTCGCCACTCACTTCGTTGAGCTCTGAAGTAAGCAGTTGTGTCCACGTCCTCTTCGATCTTCTTCATTACGGCAGGTAGCAGGGTAGCCTAATCGGGACAGATCCAACTTAGTGGTCCCTGCGTGGTTTAAGAACACCTACTGAGGCCCACAATAAGTGGATGAATAACATATATCTAATGATCCCAAATTTATTAACGAAGCAAATATACTTAATCTTGACTATTATTACAACTAGCTTTGAGAACTTGATAGGTTCAAATATATAACTAGGGAGTTTATCTAAGTAGAATGGTTGATCATTTCCCATCTTTCCGCAAGTTTCTATATACTTTAAGTGATATAATAAATTAATTACAAAGAGCTAGTTGCATGTTGTGCTGTATGAATCGATCCATTAGTCCTGATCGTCTAGAAAATTGAGTTCCAAAATCTATAGGCATAGCAAACGTGGGATGGATGTGTGAAAAAACTAGATTATCGATCGTCCGTAGCTAGGTAGCTAGTCAAGTAAAACCAAGTAAATTGACAATATATCGACCGATCTTTGACAATAATTAGCTGTACGAGCCAACACCAAGTATTTGATCGGTGTCCATCAAAGCGTGGAAACGGTGATCTGCTCTGGACACCCGATGGGACAGCATCGTGCCAGCGCATTAGTTGATATGACGATATAAATTTTCAAGCCGGCTTTGTGGTTTAGAAGCGTGCTTCTTGAATTGAAGTTTGATATTCTGTATGGAATCGCTAGGAGGCGTGTGGGTTTAAGTTTTTCACCTATTCACCAGGCTAATCAATTAACCCAAATGCATTTTTATCCCTCACAAGGGACTGCAACTCGCCATAACCACAAATTATGTGAATCCTAAACATAGACATTGCTCTTAAAATGTTTTTGCTAGCGCATGTTTTGCTTGGGTTATGATGGTAAATATAAATGAAATCCCAACAGACCCCTTTACAACTTCGCTCTCTTGTATTAAAATTGTGTCCGAGAAACAGTACGACCAAAAAGAATGTGTTTTTGATCATGTTTTTTTTGAAAAATGAATCAAACGTCCTCTTTGTGTCTCGTGTCAATGCAATCGGTTTGACTCCGGTGTGTGGAATATGGTAGGAAAGAATCAAAAGACCTGCCATAGTGCGGTGTTTAATCAAATAAGCATGAACAAATATGTAAAAAACCCAGGCAACGTGAAATTTATCTGTACAAGTAGACATGATGTGTAGGATGGGAATGCGTTGGACGGCGAGGACTGTCAGCATTGCCTAAATGAAGGTGCGTTGTATTGAAATAATCTGGGGAAATGCTGGGCTTGGTTACCGAGGTAAAACGGCATGGAGGAGTATCCGGAAACACAAAAGAGCTAAAATGTGTAACGAAATAGAAAAAAATTATGGTGCATGCATATACGTCACGGGCGTAGATCCTCCACCTTTTATGACTCCAGAAACATCGTCGAAATATAAGGTAAACATAAGAATGTTATAATTGAAGATAGAAACGGCTAGTTCGATGACCGTCATGGGCTTGAATATTAAAAGCGATATTTGAGTCACAAGTAAATAGCATTAGAAAAATTTCAAGGTGTGAGTTTAACAAACATCAATAAAAAGTAGACTTGTGGTGGATGTCATTCCTCGCACAAATTCGAACACCGACAGAATCTAACAAGTGCGACTTTGAATTAATATTTAAAGTCATTTCATGAAGCTCTGCTGACTGGCGTATCGGTTCTTTCCACACATCGGACTCAACATCCTTCTTGGTTAAGGGTGCTACCTCCGGAAAGACGAGGCAGGAAGTGGCGTCGAATAAGTTAAAATAATAGTTTCATTATAAAACCAGGCATTTATTTATGTATGTATTCTGTAGATTTGTACTTCCTCTTCTTCTGCTTCATCAACTCGCAGCCAGGCTCAATTCGTACAAACTCAAAGGAAAAGGCTAAAGGCTAAAGGAAAATTGATGCCCAATCGAGACTCAAATGCTGTCAAGCTACGCACCAGACATTACGAACTGACACTTAGATGATCACTCAACGAAAGTGGCAAATTAATGTAGGAAAAACTTAAATAATGCACTTAACAAGGAACGCACAGATACAGGGTCTTACTTATTAGGAATTCAAGATATACACTTGGTTTATAAGCCGCACTACCCCCATGAGGGCTGACTGCGATGGTCAGGGTCGGCGTTTGAATGTAGAGGAACGATTCACGACTGGCTTGAAGGATTTGCGGAAGACTGCTCTCCTGATGGCTACCAATTCGCCTGTGCGGTCGAACCAGAATTGACTGGATCTTGAAAATATAAACGCTATTTGGTTGGAGGGAGTCTAGTAGGAAGGATGTTTCATCCTGAAATGGAAGAGTTAATTTTCTTAAGCCTCAGTTTTACAAGTAAACATGATCATCAAATTATGGCTATAAACAATCGTCCACATCTGCATGTTCAACTTAAAAACGCAATCGAAGAGTCTTCAATTTCAATTGGTCGCCACCTGAAAGCCTCTCTAGTGTTAACAAATGAAACAGAATTTAATTAAAGGTATTAGGTATTATGAATTCCTACCTGAACACATTTGCTGCATTGAAAAGATGTGTGTAACTCAGAGGAGTTATCTGTAGTAGTGGTCATTTAATTAATTAGACAAAACGCGAGAAGGCTGCCAACGATATTCATGACCGCAAAGTTGCACGGAAACATCACGCAGTTACTAAACCGAGTTCTCAAATTTCAAGTTCTTGATTGCTTGGTTTTTCCAGCACTAGACAACTATTTCCGGACAGAACCTTCTCTTTGGGAACCTCTCTGATAGACACACAGGTGATTTGCATGTTTCAAGCAGGACTTGACCATTTCGCTAATAATTAGGACTAAATTTAAATGCTCTACTTGATCATAAAACGACTCTCAAAGCAGATTCGTGTGCTAGTTAATTGGGCCTCACACAACACGAAGACCACCTGCGTCCCCAAGTATCCTAGCTCATCCATACCCGTTCAAAAGGGGCCATGTGATGTGAAAATTGACGGCTTGAGGCCTTAACTATAAAACTTTGTGTGGTTGTGCAACTCCGCAGTGGATTTCTGAGGATGGTAAAAACATTTTGTAGGTTACAAAACGACTTTAATCAGAAAAAATTGAATGTTTCAAACTGTGCGCAAGCTAAAACTATGATTACACCTTATTTCAAAATAAGTGCTACCACAGGTCCAAGTGAAGAGTGCCCTGAGTGATTGCAAAACTCACATTTGGGAGGACTTTAGTTTGAGATTCCGTCGGACTGAGGCGCGGGTGAGGGTCGGCCATCAGTGTCAGCGTGTGAGGAGTCAAATGTTTATCCATGGCTGGACCCCACGTCACCCTAGACATAAAATGCAATATAAATAATTGTGCACAAGCTATGGAAACAAATTGAAATTCACCCCAGTAAGGTAACATTGGACTTCATACTAATATGCTAAGAAAATTAGAAACATCTCAAATTATTGCCAACGAATTTTGTACCTGCAGCTGCAATCTAATGGCAGAAGATAAGGGTAAAAAGGAAACATAATAGTTGGGTGGAACTCCTAGTCTGATGTTTACGGCTTACAGCATTGCTTTAGCCGTCGCCTTCGTAGGCCAACCGGTCACCAAAGCAGCCATAATCTGTCGATTGTAAACGTATGGGGGGGGGGAAACACAGGCAACACACAGCGCATATGCTTATCCATGAGCAAAGGAAAAGTCGGCTTTCTGATTTATCTGAATCGACAAATTAGTAATTACATGATCTTGATCTTGTAGGTATAAATACAAAATAAAGCCGTGTGCGTTTTTCCTTCTAATAGTCTGGACGTCCAAATGCGTAGCCAGCTGTTGTGAGGTTTCCACTTTCCACTTCATTCTATTTGTTTTCTTAGTGAAATGTTCTAAGATTGTTCATCTAATCGACGCAGAGAAATTTCGAATCTGCTTTTAAGGAACCTAACTTACCAAAGAATAAAGAAATTAAACTGTTGTTTAACAGGTTTCGAAATGGTCAATATAGTTTTCAATGTGTTTTATTGAATTTTAAGTGGTTTTGATTTGAAATTGAGGCACCAAGCTTTACCGTCGAAAAACAATAAGAAAGAAAGCAAAACTGTCTCCACATGGCACTGAGGAATGGAAAATCCAAATGCAAACATTAAGTGTCGTGCCGTTAGTACAAATAGGAAATGTCTACGTTATAAGTATATGCCACTAATGGTTTTGTATCGTTTGTATAGACGGAGTGCCATGACAGTTGGTATGGTCTCAAGTGGCTGTACATCGACCGTTCGGAAAATACAGAGTTTGCTTCTATTTACTACTTTCTTGGGACTGCTTAACTGATAATCCTCCAACTAGGGCCACGGAACTTGTCATAACACCAGTGGTAGAGCCATTAACTTTTCGAAACCCCGAGAATTTTAAGAGTGCCGAACATCGACACCATCCAATTTTTTACGCGATTCAGTTCAAATGAAATTTACATTGAGACGCAAAGGATTTGAGTGAAGCATTCGAAATTATTCAACCAACCTGTAGAAGAGATCGGAGAGATTGAGTTCTGGGTGTGTATCAAGGCGTGGGCTTCGTGGATGCCGCAAACTAAATGGTGGTCCCCATGACATGTTATACACAAGCGTCTCGGAGATAAGCTGATAGCGCAAATTTGTTGGAGGCGGAAGAGCATCAGACACTATGACAAAGTAAATCAAAAACCCAGTTCAGTTTTTCGACATCAAATAAACACGCGATTGACATAATTGCAAGCAATTTCCAGAAGGCATGTATTCATCATTGGTCATGCAGCAAAAGATACCTAACAAAATTAGGCAATTGAACCTTGATCGAAAGTGCAAACTGGTCTGTCATATTTAAGTTCCTGTTCTAAAATATACAAACTACAGGCAAATCTGTTACAAACCTTGATTTGAACAACTGAAATGGGATGCCCACGCCATTGACTGGTCATCGAAGCAGGCCGGAGTGCACAAACAACCGATGGGAATGGACGGCTGTGCCGTGGGCTCTTGTGACTGCGCGTCACTTGACTTGCGCTTATGTGGAGCCACAAAGAGAGAGTAATGACAGTTAAGCTGCAGCGACGATATTTCTACCCGCCCCTTTCGGATTAGCTGACCGTCTGGAGGTACCACCGGGTCACCATGCTGCACTGGTTCGAGCACCATGAAACGACTTTCCTCACTTGGTGTAGAGGCTGATCCCGATTTATCCAATGGCTTGAGGGGCATGAACGTCTTCGACATTTGTGCTCCAGTTTCTATGCAAGCTAGCTGCTTCCACTGGATAGTGAGGAGTCGTGGAGACAGCTTCTTATCTGCCACAAGGAAAATTACGGTTTCTTTATCTACTAAATATCTATATCTATAATTCAGTACACAAATTTTGCATAAATCGATAAAAGCTGTGAACAATAAAGTAAAAGACAGAAACGAAAACTGATTACTCATTAGATGAAAAAAAGTTGGTAGTAATTGGATGAATAAAATATGCTGAATCAGTGAAAACTGAAGCCATATATTCATGTATTGTTCTCATAAGTTTTTCCACAGTTTTGTTCGAGTCCACTGAGAACAAATCACTGTGGTCAGAAACCGTGTGTGCAGAAAGTTAGAAGGTGTTATTCATCAGCTACCTTAACTGCATGCTCTCACACGTATATTTTTATTGCTGTGCCTGAGGCATATGCTGAGAAATGATTCAATACCATTAGTCTAGGAAATTAGACGTGAATGACGCATTTATGGATGATGATACACAAATAACAGAGTCTACCTGGATCTACAAGAAAACAATGAGGAACAATTTCGTTGAATCTCACAAAAGAAGAATACATTAGATACCACAAAAGAGGCAATACTACGCAAAGTGTAAGTTATAAGAGGCTAAATCACGGTGATTCGGCAAAGGCCACAATTTTTAAAGACGTAAAATGGTCCATGCGTTAAGCTTTCAATCTTTTTGGTAAAAGTAATTTGCTCCAGTTATGCACGGATGTTCACTCGTGAAATGAGCAAAAAGGATAAATATCCAAAGCATCTATTCTGAAAACGTAACACTATACCGTTTTTCTAGTCTAGTAAAACATAGAAATTGACATTAAAAATTGTGACGTGGCTGATAGCATAAATCTATTTATGCAATTTAATTAGTTATATATACGCAGACGTGCATTAAGAAAAGGGCTCCGGTGATCAAACTTGCCTCCTCAAGACAAGGTCTGAGGAAGACGTGTTGATGAACTTAGTTAATATGCCTGAGTCGGCAGTCAAAATCTGCGGGTAGTAAGGGTACTCAACTGGTCAACGAATTACCAGAACCAGGTTATCTGCAGCACAAAGGATTGCCGACAACACCTGTGCGGTACTGTTTGCACACACAAGGAATCGCAAGATGCTCTTCAAATCGAGCCAATCGCTCAACTACTTCCACAGCAGACGCTGACAGCGACTCAGATCGCATTCGGATCGGATGCCCCACCGAGCCATGTCGCAATCCCACTTTGGAACACCAAATGCGACAAGATGTAGGGAAATGTCACCATGACTGGCCACTCACGACAATGCATACTGGGGTGCTCCTGTTTTGTGTTCAAGCGAAGACGGATCGTACCTGTTGGAAGGGGAGCAGTCGCGTTTTCGGAGAATTCATTGACCGTCAGCATGGTCTTCAGGAACTGGCCATCAAAAACACCTGGGTCATTGGCAAATCGAATGGTAAGCAGACGGCCAGGTGATTGGGAGAAACGCAGGGCACGAAAACTGGATGCGATGTGTAGGCGATTGTTGTCATCCCGCGGCCTGACCTTGTCACAGCTGCATGAAACGCGTGCATCACCTTGATGGAAATTGGAAACAATCAGTGAGGAACGAAGCAGCATGATGCAAACGTGAACCACGACTACTACCCTTGAAAGCCCGATTCCTCTGAGGCGTTCTGGGACAGAGCTGAATGAAGCTTGGCGAGTGTGCGTGCGTGAGTTCCCCGAGAAGTGGAAGGTCGCCAGCATTGAAAATCGAGAAGACTAGTTTGCCAACGCCACCCACCTTCCCACTTGCTGAATGTCAGCCATGGGCAAGCAACTGTCCTCGCTTGAGGCGTGCTCACATGACTCCGCCAACGGCATTCATTGCCCACGATGCAAATGAACTTTAGTTTGACCTCATGTCTACAGCTCCACTTCGTTCCAGGCATTGACGCACACTTGCTGCTGACTAGTTGCTTCACACAGCTACCTCAGTGCATGATCCTTTTCCACGCAACAGCACACACGGCCCCTGTCTAGTGGATGGGTGAACACTTGGGTCAGTTGATTGCTGACGCCTTCACAAATGTCTGGGTTCTAAAGTTGTCTCAAGTTACACCCATTTGGTAGCCACGACATCAACCCGTCTCGACTCGCAGTAACTTATTACAGTCTCATTTGGATGGTTGGTAAGCGAGAAGTGGCCTAACGTGTGTTGGAATTAGGGGGTGAAGTAGCCTCGATATTTTCACACTTCAGCACTCACAGATTAGCGTATTGGAAGCACTCAGATATTCGGATTAAATTCCCAATGAATGCCTCCTTAGATGACAGAGACATTCCTTGTTACCCCCTCTATCGACTTCGAATGCGCCCGCAAATGACCAAATTACTGTTCTGGGAACTATGGAGTCAGCTTGCTGCTCCCAGACACAGCAACGTCATGCACCCAAAACAATGCTGCAAATCAGCTCACCATAGTCAATGTTGTTGTCAGAGGTGTCTGCTAGCCAGGGTTGGTTCCGGTAGTGGATTTCCCTCTTGGGAAGTCCTGGAGTTGTGATGAAGTGGGAGGCGGCACTTGAGGTGAATATTTTCGAACCCCACGAAGAAATTGCTTGCACCTGAAATGCACACAAGAGGTCTGAGTGTCACCCCGTGGCACGCCTCAACTGTATCCACAGTAGCTTCAACCCATTCACAACCACATCACATAATTTGCGCGTAAACGTGGTTAAGGTCACCCGATTTCGATGTCCCGTTTATGCCAAAACGAGTGCAATTGAAGGACGCGAATGAAGCATTTCAGTCACACACAAAACAATAAACAACAGACAGTTGAGAGTTCCTCGTACTAAAACCGAAAACACACGTGTTGCATGCATTCTTCTGCCTCACTGTCTACAACTTCAGGCTCAGATTTTGAAATTGACCCGAACAATGACATAGACGGCGAGCACCTATGCGAGCATGTGGTCGCATTCAAAGTTCCCGTGATAAGTATGGCGAGAGCCAAGAAGTTGGGCGATAGTAGAACGGAACCAAGATGTACGGCAATGTAGACAGCAGTCAGCACTTCAAAGTTGATTTCAGGCCACAGGTTCAACACGGATTCGCCACCCTTGTCCAAGCGGTCAAATATGCACAAAATTTACTCGCCACACGTAAGTGTTATTACTATTGCATTTAACTAGTGCCGTGTATTGTGATTACAGTGGGGCCAAGAAGTTGCCAGGCTAACTGCCAGACGACCAGCCAAGTGTCGAATAAATGCCTTGATCACCTACGCCGTAAGACCTGTAGATAGTTGCCAGGTTCACGCTTGCCCTCGGCACCTCACATCAATTGGGTGCTAATTGTCCGTCTGAAATTATAACGAGCCAACAAAACGGAGTTGTATCACAACCAGAAAACGATGTGACGTTCGTCCTCAAGAGCCATGGAGGGCTAGAGTAATTGTGACGATGAGAGCACCATGGGACTTCATGGGTCAACGTGCTTAAGGAACAGTTGTGTTGGAGGCGGTCTGTGAAATATCGTGAAAGGAGGTGTCATCTACTTCACCTACTTCAGCGACACTTGGCTGAATGACCGTGCCCGCACAATTGAGGATGGTGGAATTCTGACTGGGTGCATATCGAGTGTGGTTTTAAGGAGGAATCGCCAATTAGACAGCAGTGCGCATCAAGCGAACATGTAATAGCCTTGTGCCGAAAGTGTTGTTAGTTGCGATTTGTGCATCGGTTGTAGAACCAACATTGCTGATGAGGTGGAGTGCTGTGAAATCGAAAGTAGCCTTTTGCGAAAAATGCCTTTACGCAGATTTCTTCACTGAGCTGTTTTTTTTGAGGTGACTTCATTTAACCGTGCGAGGAGTTTGGTAATTTGGTTGGCTACCAGTGTTTCTGTTCGACCATCGTAGCTTCAGTGTTACTGTTTGAATTGCTGGTGGAAATATTTGTGTTTACTGGATCGGTTTCGCTTTGGTTTGTTCGTTATGCCTCCAATCGCTGCATCGAATATCAAACAATGTAAAATACGTGGTGTGAAATTTTGACTTGAATATTTTGTAGATAATCAAGTATATGGTTGAGATACGATAACTAATTTGGCACATTGTAGGGGTCGCTGTGGTGCTCGAAGCTAAAACTTCGATAAAATACGAAGCACAGAGATTGTCATTACTGAAATGACCTTAAAAAATGATTGGTATATTTTTATGCCGTACCTGATTAAGAAATGATTTGGAAAGATTAGCAACTTTCAGTAAAAGGTGACGAGTTTATTTTGTACAAAGTTCCGGTTAGAGGCTAAGAAAGCCCAGGATGCCGTTTCGTAAGTCACTTCAGCTTTTTTTCGGCTGCTCAGAATTGACTTTTCAAACTGTTACTAATCTCAATAATTCGGTGCACCATTAATTCAGCAAAACTAAATTCTCCTTGCGAGTACTGTTTTGCCTTGGCACATTAGCTTTTGCTATTTGGTTGATATTTAATATACTTCAGCAAATAAAGGAAGATTCAACTGCACGCTCTACTTGTGGAGAAAAAACCTGACGCAGGAAATGGAGTTCATGCTCCATGGGGTTCGACACTCAGCATTTATTTGAAGCCATTATTAGTTTAATGTCAATAACGCTCCTCATTCAATCTATAAACAAAGTTCCTGGAAAGAATTTATTTCTAAGATAAAGCTACCACCGATATGTTGTTTTTGCCCCAAGCTCATGGTTTCCCCGCGTTCTGTGTGTTATGCTTCCAATTTATACTTGTTCGGAATCCACCTGACAGAATTGTGACACTTCAATGCACTGAAATTCACTGCATCTTACCTGAATGTTGTAAGACATATTCGTTTTGAGGTCCTGGAGGACATAGTGGGTTTGCGTCTTAAAATTAAAAAAAAGTAAAATGGTTTTTAATGCCTTAAATAATCTCGAATAAATAATCTGCAGAGTTTGTGAATAGTTTGGCAGTTAACGGATGAAACAGCGTTGCAAACCAAGACAAGTATTTAGCTTGATTATTCAACATTCCCCGAAATTTACATGCATGGGTAGCGCTGGTCCTATAAGCTTCTTGCACAGACTTAGCTTAAATTTGTAACTAGATTAAAGCCAAGTCGTGTTCATTCAATAAGAAGGAGTTGGTATTTCCGTTCCTGACTGAATAGGTGTCCGTGAAGCTAATCGCCACACCACCTTACTCACGTGGATCAAGGCACGTTAGGATTAATCCTTCGGATACTGAACGTCAAGAATTCCGTAATACATTCGAATGCACCAAGTTATGGAACAATAAAACACAAACGAAGCAAATTTATCGGTAAATCTGGAGAGAGAATGGAGTCAGTTTAGAGTGCATAATTGGTTAAAATAATTGTTCTTCTCTTTAAATTTGCTTTTGTTTGGCTCAGTTATCCCAAAGAAGGCTAAGATATATTTGATAAGACTGAGTGCTGTGAAGTCAAAATTGCACACCTTATGGGCATTTACGAAGGTAATATCCCGCAATGGAACACACTAACTCATTTAAATAACAAAACCAAGCCGAGAACCGAATTGCTGACCTTCAAATACGCAACATGGTCGACAAGCAGATCTCAAGAAGTAATCAAATACTAATATAATGTATTTAGGAAATATTAATGAATTTTGGAGTAAAATTATTCGAGTGTATAAACTAAGATTATTCAACGTCATCCCAAAGACTGGGACTTTCCATAATTAACACCGCGCCATGCACCTTACCCATGCAAATAAACGGCTTTAAATTTCAGTAATTACCGATTACACAAAATTATGAAGCTATCAAGAAAAATCTTTGTACATAGAAATCCAGTATTATCGAAATTGCGTTAGTTGACAGCAGCACTCAATTTTCATTACGGGGTCATAAGACCTACTTGAAAAGTGTATTTATGTATTAAATGAGATGAGAGGCCGACGTGATAAGCTGACTAATATTGTCCGAAGCTCTTGTTAGTCAACCACTGTAGTTCACAAAATTTAATAATATTGTCCCAAAATTTGCGCTCATATGACCAATGGTATCTTTCAAGGTACTAAAAACAAGTGGCTAAATAGATTTAGGGGAACTGCACAACATAGTAATAAGTCAAACTACCACATTTTTAATTTGTTTCGACTTGTTACAGAGAAGGTTCCAAATGGAAAGATGAGAAAGGCTTAATGGGAATTAGTGAAGTTCGACGTAAAGCAGTTAATCACCCGAATATTCGCTGGCAAGTGTGAGTGTTAAAGTGTCGATAGTGAAGCATTTCGACTAGTGTTTGGAAAAATTTAAGTAATTTAGGTACCGTAACATCTTAATTTTTAATTAGAAAAGAGCTGAGACATGCCTCGTAAAGGTTGCCTTATTGTAAATAATTAACAGCCTCTAACTTAAGAGGAAAATAAATTATTTACAACATTGGTCAACGTGTTTTAAAAATTGATTGGGGGAATTTAGAATTGCTGACACTTTAATTCGGCGACCACGAATCGGCGTCTTTTGAGCGACAAATCATTTCGTATTCAACGCGCTTTCAACTATTAGGCGCAAGTTCAAGTAGACCCAAGCAAAACCTCCTCCTACAGCCTTCCCTTTCATTCCCGATCGGAAGCCAAAATACATGCTACCCAAAGAATAAAGTCGTGTGATTTTGTGCACAAATCGTCAAGGAAAGGTCAAAAGTTTAAAAAATGGAAGTAAAAGAGCGTATCAAAAGGTATTAAAAAACTCAATTTCAAGAAATCTGACGTAAAATCATTGGGGACAATTGCTACCCTATTAGCGTGTCCAAATAACTTCATGGTAGAAAAAGACAATTCCTAGGTGGCAAAAGACACCCTTGGCGAAACATCCTGGGACAAAGTTGGAATTGCTTTAAATCAACATGGCTTCTGCTCAACGTCTTCGAGAGTGGTAAGAAAAACGTGGCAAATTAGACTAGCCGTTCCTTGAGGATGGATGGTAATGTGGAAAGTCGTGTCTGTGTCTACAAGTCCAGGTCAAATTCTTAAAAAGCAATAACGTTGAGCATCAAAATGCCCAGTAGAGCCGACGTTAAAGCACAATTACTAAACATTTGTCTGACATGGAAAACAGGTGCTGTAAAAGTGCAAACGTTGCCCGAGAAGACAGGACACGTCTAACAGGATTTTGAGAAAGTAGTTTCGTCCTTTAATTTTAAAGTATCAGTCCTTTACCATCGACATCCATTACAGCATGTTTTTTTTTCGAACCCTACAAGTCGACAAACGCGTATCTAGAAAAAGGTCAAATCCATCTGCAACAAGGTCAAATCCGTGCAGCACTCGTTCGTTCGTTCTTAACCGTTTTTTGAGTGACTTTTAAGGGTTTGTGAAGGCCAGAGCTTCAAAAACTACCGTTTAAATATATTTCACTATATTACACAACTTGCAGTTGATGATTTTACATCTCAGGTACGGCTGACACCACGCAGAACTTACGGCTGGAACGATGTGCAGAAAAGCCGTCGCCTTCTCCCCAAATACCGCTCGATTGTCCGAAGAAGGAGTTTCCGGCGCCCAGGATATCTGAAAGTGAATTATCGTTAATAAGTCGTGTTTGATGTTAAAACGATGAAGAAAAATTTACAAAATAGATATTTTATGATAGTTCACTTGTGTGCAAATGTCAAGACTATCACTCAAATTGTTTGCTGCAAATCACTGCTCATGTTGTGTAGACAATCTTGTCGTTGAAATGCAACAACGCAATTGTTTAAGAATGGGTTCGATTATTTTTTACCACTCTTGCCATAATCGTACACCCAATGTAAGCATTTGCCGTTTCAAAATTGGCGTGCGTCATTTTTAACGGGTATTTACAAACAATTCACGGGTAAATTGGAATTACTAAGGTTTAAGATGCGCATAAATAAACTAAACCCCACAGGCAGAGCGTTGGTGCACAAAAATAGAAGCAGGTGACGATAAAAGCAACACAAACATTGCAGTTGCTTTTAATTACATGCATACTTTCTCACTTTTTTATTCATTTTTGATACCCATGATATAAAATACGCAGATAATCTTTTTTGCCAAATTCTTGATGTCAAATGCTTACAAGGATCCCTGCAAAATACCCCTATTCAACAATTTCTGCCAATTAAAATAGACTTTTATTGTTTTCCTGAATACCATCGCCCTGTGCTACCAACGTGAATGCAGCGGGAACAGGATTCATCAATAACTATTTAAAACTGAGTTTTAGACGGGTGCTGCATTCTGTATTTCATTGACTAAATTAACCAAATTTAATTTTATTTGCATCATTAGGGGCAATTTCATTTGCAAACTTCTTTTAACGATTTTGTCAACTTTAACCATTTATCGGCAGCTAGGGCCTTGTGGACGATAGCCCCCCTATGGTGGGCTTCTAGGCTCTTGTGATTCTGTTCCTGTGCAAATTCGCCGTATGGTTATGGCTAAACAGTGGAATTCGCAACACAAGATTTTAGGTATAAAAGAGATTTGTGACTCTGGATTCATTTACCCGATATTCAGTAACAGGGATAACAGCGGTGGCCGGTGGCTTCCAATCAATGCGAACATCAACCCCACCGTCTGCATAGAACCTCCAGACGCCGTCAGCAAGTTGTCTTGGAGCGGAAGCAGCCCTTGGGAGTTGGCTGGTCAAATGAACTGGTGGCGTGGTGGAATCACCGAATCCTCTTGATCCAAATCGGTTAACGGCTGCAATTCGATACTGGTACCACCAACCCACGTCAGGTTCACTTAATCGAGCGCCTGGAATGGTGGTCTATAAAAAGGAGTACTCTCATGTCACTGTCCAATGAAGCCCATAAACTCTCCCGACGCACCAGATTAGTCAAGCAATGAAGTTTCTGAGGGTCTCTCGGAGAGGATTACGTTGTATCTGGAGAGTTAAAATGAATACTAACATGGCTGTGGACTCTACAATGACATTTTTTGGGTTTGCAATGATCATCGTTGTTCAGCGTATTCCACAAAATTCATTACTTTGTATTTTTTCGTAGTACTAAAGGTGATGGATCTTGGGATATTGCGTCTATGCAACTTTCTCTAGCATCGTGGTGCAATTCCCTGGTCCATAGATTGAACTATTTTAGTGGTCTATGTGAATATCATACGTTTTTACCGTGATATTTTACTTAATATATTTCTGGATAATGCAACTAATTTCAATCGAAACTGACATTGATATGAGTAACTTATTGAATAAATAAAGCGATCACATTGAAAAAGACCACGAAAAACTTAAATCGTTGTCCTATCAAGAAGATATCTTTTTAAAATGTTAAAACAGAAGGGGGTCCTATGGTCCCAACCCACTGAATTTAATCCGATGACATATTTGGCTAGAGCCGTTAGTGAAAAGTAAATATTAATTTCAAACAGCTGGACACAGCCACCGACACTACATTGCAGAGAATGGAATTCGGTTCCATTCTAGAAACACAAGTAATTGCAAGCATTAATCAATATTGTGACTAACCATGGTCAAAGTCTTCCACGTGTCAGAAGTCATCGGGTCGAACTCGGGACCGAAAAATGTTCGAACCTGCAGAACGTAGATTATTGGCTCCTCAATGGAGCCCTTGTTTTCATTAGCTACATTCCACGTCAATTCAAAAGCCCTTGGTTTACTCTCCTCTGTGATTTGTGGAGGCAAGACGTGTTTCGGTATATCTAGAAAGGATTGTGTTGTCACGACTGCTCCTGTGATAATAAGGAACCCAGTCTAATTGGGGGTATCCTAGAGTTAATACACAAGACTTGGGAATCTATCTTTCACAGAAGAGAGAAACATGAAGTCGGAGAGAATTAGCAGGCAGACTCAAACGCGATTGTGTAGCGGTTGATTATCTGAATAGTCACGAATGTCTGAAACCATTTATTCCCTAGTCTCTAATCTACCTGCAGTGAATGACTCAAGGAAATTAAGATAAATCGTGTGCATCCATGGCAGTCTACTGCATTGTTTCTGCTTGAAAGACCCATCTAATAACCACAAAAAAACAAGACCAGGCAAAAAGTTTATGGTTTTAGAGGTGGTTACTCATTAAAGTGTCTGTGCCACATGTGATGAGTAACACGGCACTGTTCAAAGAAAAAACAAGGGTACACGCGTTAAGGAATCTGCTGTAAATACATTTTACAATTTCACCCATACCGGTTGTGGGTGGTTGGCGCTAATTCAGACCCTAGACAACGCGTTACAAATAAATGAACATATGTTTTTTATCCAATGGCAATGGAAACACTTAATCAAACGTCTCGAAAGAGTGGCATAGACCTTTGACTTATAACAAACAAAAACGCGGGGGAGAAATGCTAAGTTGGGGAAATTACCCATGTCTTATGCCTTAGCGAAGGCGCATAGGTTTATTCCTGAGGAACAAAAGTGTTTACTGTCATAAATAAACCAAATAATGATGAGGAATGCGAGTTTAATAACTGATGTCTGAGTTGGGCATTTTCAGCGCAAATTTCCGACGAAAACATAAATATGAGAGTCCAAGACATCACTTTCCACTTTTGGTTCAAACTACAACTTACTGGTTTAAGCATATAATCAGTTAGTCAGGAGGACTAAGTCATCCACTGTCGTATGGCTTCCTTCCACATACGAAAAGAATTGTTGTTTCCGTCAAATATCCAACATTGTGAAAAAATAATCGCAACTAAACTAAAATTCACACAAGTTTTGAGAACTTATAAAGTAATTGCTGGATGCCTTGAAAGTGAAGTGTTTCCTAGAAATTAGCCCAAATCGAGCATTTATTTGCGATTTCCATCTCAAAAAATAAACTAGGGCTTTCCAGTGACTCATGCCGAATGAAGAAGCTCGCACATTTTGCTATCGGTTCGACGCTAACTAGCTGTGGTGTAGAAACGGAACTAAATAAAGCGAGTACATTTATCTATGTGCCTTGACTTGTTCGTCAGTGGGCGGATGAAGGACGTGAAGTTGATGACAACGTTGTTTAACATAACGTGCGACAGAAAACATGGAACACAATAAATGACCGTAAAATGCTCTACTAGGCCGCAGAATCCTGAATGAAATCAAAAAACAAAAGCATCTATAGTTCGAAAACAAGCACAATTCTGTTAAAATAATACAAATTTGGTGAGTTTTGCGTACTGTCTGAAAAAGCCGGCTGTTGGCACGTGCCAGAACAGCACTTCTTCCCCTCTGGACAGTCGTGATCCAATGTGCAGACAGCCATAGACGCACCCTCTTCGTGCAGAAGCATCCATTCATCGTTTCCTCCGGAGTCCTGAACTCGACCAATGGGCGTGGTGGGAGGACAATCACCGGAGCGGTGTGAAAGTGCTGCATCCAAATTTCGACAACCGGTGTGGCAACCCCAGCCTTCACCAAGTTCACTAGGCTAAAGATTGGAGCGAGTGCGTGATTTCCAATGTAAATTTGGCATAGAGCTGTTCATAACACACTTTTACGTGAAATAAAGCTAAAACGAGAGTGTAGATAAAAATTTTCCAACGGAAATATTTGAGGACATTTTTAGGTTTTCAACTTGGTCTGTGCTACTTTGTGCACACTCCCGAGAGTAAAATAGAGGATGCTGGCATGATCTCCAATATTTAAGCAGCTGCCCCTACGAATGCTAATTAAGTAATTGCAGAAATAAGACAATACAAGACAGTTTAAAAAAAAACAAAACTGCAGAGGAGGATGTAGAGATTCGGTTTTACTCATAAGTATAAAACAACACCAAATGTATGAGCCCATAACTAATTCAATTCAACAAGTTAAGTTTAATAAGTAATTCATAAGAAATTGCCCCTTCAATTGGAGATTCTGATTTAAAACCGACTGGGTAAATAATCTTTGGAGAAGGGAACGTAGCTCACACACATAAACAACAAGGAAACGAAAACGACGGTTTCATTAAAGGATGGTTTTTTGAAGTAGAACACCAACATCCTTAAAAATAATTTAGCAAACGAATTTGATAGCAAGAGAATCACGAAAATATACCGATTAACAAAATAATTACGTTAATATTTGCCAGTAATGCTAACCTGGAGTTCATAGTGGGTACTTAATTTTGTCGCGATGACTACGGTAAATCTACTGATTCAGCGCAGTATTTTTATTAGGACAAAAGTAAACTTTATCAGGCTGTTGAGAAACTACATGAAATGCTAGTGGTTTGAAAATATGGCGATAACGCATAAATCGATAATTAATCAAAACGACTATTCTACTTTGAAATTCAACTTGATGGTTGGTCGCCTCTGTTAACACCACCGAAGAAAGTCAAAACCAGTGAAGCCTTTCCATTCAAAAGGCAGAATCACATAATTTCACAAACTGGCTCAACAAAGGACATATAAAAACCGTCATTAAAGCAAAAGTCTGCTGTTAGAACGCGGTGAACTAACATATCAGCCGAGCAGCGTCAGTTACTAGGCCATTTGGTAATCAGACGTCACTGAGTTTTAAGAAAGCGTAAACAAAAAAATTTAAGTGGTTTTAAGCTAGGCGGTAAGTTGCTGGAACCTTTCTGAATGCGGCCTTTTTTGAAATTGAGATGTTACTGCCCAGGGGATGCGCAAATTGTCAGGAGAATCATCGACTTTAAAAATGTTTTTTTTGCCAGGCCGTACAAAAATCAACTTTCGCGAGTGAAAACCAGATAAATATAAATCTGGCAAAATCTGGAGTCTCATTCTCCACTTTATTCTGGAGTTTGGCTCCGAAGAGATCACATTAAATTCAATTAACATTAAATATAGATGTATCGGCCGGTTAAATATCTATTTAAGCAACATGATCCACGGCGATTTTTAATGCGAGACCCACTAAAATCTTATGACGACTTTCGGTTTCAGTTATAAGGACAGCAACTGAATGCTGTCAGAGTCTGCAACAGGAGTTCCCATGCGAAATAATTACGTTTTATAACGGAACTGACATACTCTGTTTAGCAGCTGAAAAAACCGAATGGGCTCCCTACACGCCATTGCTAAAGGGTATATAAGCTTGAAAAAAATGCGGAGTCAGTTTCTGACAGCAATAAAGCGTGGCCTTTTTTACCAGGCAATTTAACGCAAAACTTGATCTAAACACGAAGCGAAGCAAACTCTTGAAATGTTACAAATGATGTCAGTTTGCTTCAACATTCATTTTCGTGGTTCGTGCCCAGTGGTTTGTTAAAGCTGGAACAGGTTAAATTTACTGAGTAAACCGCCTGACATTAAGATCAACGTATCTGGCTTAAATACCACGAAAGCAGACAAGACAGCACTGACAGTAGAACAATTTGCGCATGCAAAACAAAATCTTTTTTTTACTCCGTTTGACCACATTGGCCCAAAGGGAATCGACCTCCAGGATAATTTATTGACAGAATAGTATCCATGCGAAATCGTTTGCTTCCTGTCTTAAGGCTCCAAACCTCAGGTTCGCCACAAGATGGGCCAGCTTTTCCGAAATTTACTCCAGAAAGCACAAAGTTAAGTTTTCATCTGCACTGATTTTCGTTTCGTTATATCTTTCTTTATGCAAGAGTTTCTGCACGTAAGTACTGCAACTTTGGGACTTTTTGAATTGAATTTTAGTGGGGATTCTTGTTCGATGCATGTTGGTGTGTCTAAACCTACTAAATGAGCAAATGGTTTATGCAAATCGGTCAGAGTAATAGTGTCCCCAATGCAATTAATTCAGTTAAGATACATATTATCGTGCAAAAGAAAAATAGGCTGGTCAAATTTAACACACAAATCAGATTCAAGCGTCTCTGATCAACGCTTGATGTCACACACGTAAAGCCCTTTAGCACTTTTCAAAGTGAAGTTACCAGAATGTAGATAAAAGGCACTTACCCTGCACCCCTTTGCGCAGTCAGTATAAGGCAATCCGGTGTCACAGGCATGTTCACACTAAAACGAAAGAACTACAAATTCGTCAAACACACACCACATTTATTCATGGCATGTGTTGTATGCAGTAGATATATGATTTCAGAGAACCTCATCACCAAGTCAAGGAACTACATAGCCCAGCCCCCTCAAATGCTTCGCGTGTTATCGAAACCATCCGCTTGAGTGATTTGAACTCATCACCCAAGTGGCTTCGTAAGACAGCTCGTTTCGTGGCTGCGAATGGTTGAGCTGAACTAAAACTGCTTCACGGATAAAGAATGGTGAGTAAAACTGTTTGTGAACGGGAAAATAAAAAGAGGGAAACATAACAACTGCCAACTGTTCCAACTGGACAGTTAGACCTCACTTTGGAAGCGCCGATGAGTGGACAGCAGTATTTGTTGAATCTCGATGGCCGATGCTGTGTGTACAGGGGCGTGCCAACTGAAAGTTTAGCAGTCGTGCATAATGTACGGACTGCGGTTTCAGCGAAAACATGTATGGAACGTTCATTTGGAGCCGAAATAAATGTAGGCAGCTGTTTTCATAAAAGGTCTTGCGAAGGCAAGTTACTCGTCTACTACAGACAGTCCTGAGAAAGCGCGTTACACAATACATTTGCGTGAACCGTAAATGACCAAACACGACTCGCAAAGGAAACAAATTGTGGAAAGCAATCAACTGTACATAAACCCGATAACTCATCAGTGCCATTGATTTCACGCTAAAATTGGGTTGACAGCACCGAATTAGCGTTTTTGTGACTTTTTGTGCGACTCCTATCCAATTGGCTATACGCAGATGCGGTGAATTGGCTTAACCACAATTCTTAAAACATAAGGTAGGCACATTGGTAACATGGGAATAAGATAATTAGTGCTACTAAGGTGCAACAACTCGAATCCCCAAAATTTAATTATTTATTTTTCACTTCACAGCTTCATGACAGGTGATTCCAAGCCTATCAGAGGATTCACCTGATTCTCTTAACGATTTATCAGTATAAAGATGGGTATTTTCTCGATTTATTAAATTAAATGCATCGACTGTGAATTAAACTTTGTTGGACTTTCGGGTAACTAAATGATTTGTACAAGGTTTAATTCAAGCGCCAAAATATTTAGAGAACATTTTAAACCGTAGGCTAAGAACTCGACCGCATCATTTGTCATGCAAGTTCAGCACCATGTTAATTCAGCCATCAGTTTGACATGCAGATGCTTCGTCTTGTGCAGACATATTCAGCAGGGCGTTTGAAACATGCAATCTGTGAGTTGCTAGGGCATTAAATCTTTCACCGAAATTGAATACGCGAAAATCTGCCTTAGCTGGTCTACGGACGGATACATTTATGCTGCACATACACACTAATACTTTTTAGAGGAAACGAGATGATTGGTGTCTAGCAGGTGAAAGACTAACCCACTACCAATTGGACAATCTTGCTTGGCATTAAGTAACTGGCCTTCGAGTATTGTCCGTTAAATCTGCACCAAGCACCCTCAGCTAATGTACAAATGCAGGCCAAATACATCTCAGTCTGAAGCCGCGTTGTTCTTCAACTGCGCCACGTTGGGCAGTTGCTCGGTCGGACAAGATTTTGTCGTGTAGTTCTGGAAGAATCGAAGCGGCTTGTCATGTAAACATAACAAGAATTGTGGTATTTGACTGAATCAAACACCATGTTCCTGTTTTCCACTAACTGGATGTGCAGAATCAGGGACTGCAGAGTGATTAAGCTGGCCAGAACACAAAGCTCCGAATAAGGGACTTCGTTAGAGCTGACGTCCAAATAGCTGACATGCAAACGATAATATTTCACTCACCTCGTCGTAAAAGGGAAATGTTGAAGAAAGACGACGACACTCCGACTGTGCGTGTATTGGCGCTTTCAGAAGGGAATCGAGGACTGTTCGAGCCTAAAAAATGTTTCCCAATCTGTGAATTACAATTCGCACACCCAGGAATGATGGTCGAGCATGATAAAAAATTGACATGGATGCTGGCACAGGAGCAACGGTTTCCAGGGGTCCTTTTTAATCGCTGTTCCACTAAATTTAGGACATTTTAAAGTCTGGCACCATTGCACCAGACCTTTTGTTGGATGACTAACCCAAATGGACTTTGGTACTTCTTTTACTATATGTAAAGATACCCTTTACAATTTAATTTGTGTAAATTAGACAATTTACTGACCCACTTTTAATGAGTGGAGAAACTCCGGAGTGAAGATGAGATAATGCGTAATTAAAACCACAGTGCTCAATCCTATAGCTTTTATACCACTGGTAAACTAAATTAATCATAAACCTTAAATTGGGAATTTTGATAATATTCAAGTCAATTAACCTGTATGGCTTTGACAAACAAGCATGCATTATAACTCAGTCATTCTTGACACGAACTTTGGTGAGTGGCATGCAATGGTAAGTTAAACAACTGAAAACAGACCTTTAATGTTCCCAAAAAATGCCCACCAAAGGCAAGTAAGTGCTTATGC